ACACACACACACACACACACACACACACACACACACACACACACACAAAGTCCGAGGACAATGGAATATCTTAAAGACGAATCCAAATCCGACCATGTGTCAAACTTTGGCCCATGGGCTCTATGTGCCCACTAGAACTAGGGATGTGGCACAGTAAAGATTCATAAACTTGGCTGGAGTATCAGTTTCAGAAAAGACCCCTGTGTCCAGACTTTTTGGGAACCCCTGCATGGAGGTAGCCTATGGCAGTATAGTGTCCAAGTGGCCTCCATAGTAATGGGGACAGGGACTGTATCTGACATGAAATGATTGGCCTGCTCTTAGATCACTGCCCCCTGATGGGGAAGCAGCCTTACCAGGCCACAGAAGAAGACAATGCAGCCACTCCTGATGAGACCTGATAGACTAAGATCAGAGGGAAGGGGAGGAGGACCTCCCTTATCAGTGGACTGGGAGAGGGACACGGGTGGGGAAAAGGGAGGGTAGGATTGGGAGGGACAAAGGGAGGGAGGTTCAGGGGGGGATACAAAGGGAACAAACTGTAATTAATAAAAATAAAAATAATTAAATAAATTCATAAATTTAAAACATAATGACTGTGTTTCTGCTATTCTTTCTTTAGCTCAACTGAGTGGCTTTCAAAAGAGTACTTTGTAGATGGCAATGTTACAGCACCAAAAGTTTATTTTTTAAATTTATTTATTTATTTATCAATTACAGTTTATTCACTTTGTGTCCCAGCTGTAGCCCCCTCCTTCATTCCCTCCCAATCCCACCCTCCCTCCCTCTTCTCCTCCCATGCCCCTCTCCAAGTCCACTGATAGGGGAGGTCCTCCTCCCCTTCTATATGACCCTAGCCTATCAGGTCTTATCAGGACTGGCTGCATTGTCTTCCTCTGTGGCCTGGCAAGGCTGCTCCCCTATGAGGGGGAGGTGATCAAAGAGTCAGCAAATGCGTTCATGTCAGAGATAGTCCCTGATCCACTTACTAGGGCACCCACTTAGAGACTGAGCTGCCATGGGCTACATCTGTGCAAGAGTTCTAGGTTAAACAAAAGTTTAAATACACCTGCACCTAGACATTTGCCTCCTCTCTTGAAGCTCATGAAATTGGCCAACTAAGAAATGTGCAAGTGCAGTCCACAGGACAGCACAGAAGCCTTGAGACTCCTTTTCATCCCTGCTAATCTGTTTCTTTCTGCCATTTTGTCACCAAAGCCTCAATGATGGTGACAATGATGTGCACTTAATGCATTTCAGGAAAGTATCAAATTAAGTGCTTTGTATGAACCCTTTCACTTAATTATCATAGCAAAATTCTAAACAGATACAGTGACTTTTCCATCATTTTGATGTGGAAACCAGATTCATTTAAAAAAGTAAGGTGACCTGGGTCAATGTGAAGACTCATATCCAAATGTATCTGACATTGGACTTCGAACTCTCATCATTCTCACTGCCTTTTATCAGTGCTTTCCTCTCTTCCAAATATGACGTCAGAGAAAACTGAGAAGTGCCTCTGCCCTTATTTGGCTTCAGGCATTTCTCTACTTCATCCTGAAACATCTGCCTTGTTTCAAAATAATTTTGAGGGGGATTTTTGTGGTGAAAGACTCTTCACACATACATGTTAATAGGAGTAGGCAGACCAAAGCACTGGCACCCCTTTTACATCAGGCTGACCAGCTGAGTTCAAAAAGGCCATTCAAACACCTATGCTCTGAAAAACTGATCTTAGGTCTTAAGTCAACTCTGGCCTAGGATAGCAATTTGGACCTCTTCTATGAGAGCCACAGCATAGGTTCATGCTGGGAGAGAAAAAACAACATCCACAATCTCTGTATCACAAAAATCTGATGCCAGGCTTTTCCACTGACCTCAAACTAAAGTTGACAATTATACAAGGGCAGTTAGACATTTGGGTATCAAAAGATACATCTTAGAGATGACAGAATAGATTCCAAGAACCCATGGAAAGCCAATGATAAAGAAAAATTAATTTCAAGATCCACAAAATTCTATATAAAGGCATGCTTTGTTTGGTTTCTCAAAATTCAGTTATACAAGGTGTGTGACAGGAGCAGTAAGGAGTAAATTCTTATATTTAATACATAAAAAGAACTTGCATAAATATTACAAAAATATTGAACATCACTGGACTAAGTATTCAAATATATCATCTAATTCAAACTCCCTAGGTTTTTTGTTTTGGTTTTTACTTATTTGTTTTTCTTGAGACAGTAGCCTTGGCTGTCCTGGAACTCACTTTGTAGAACAGGCTGGCTTTGAACTCACAGAGATCCACCTGCATCTTCTGCCCAAGTATTGGGATTAAAGATGAACAGCACCATGGTCAGCTTACCTACTTTTTATGATAATGATCATTATGTTCTTCACTTCATGTAACTGAGAAAACCAAAACTTCAAATAGTTGGCTTGCCCAAAATCACATGGGTAAGTCAAATTTCAAACCTATGTATTTGCCACTGTACTCATCTTATGCATGGCATGAGTATTACATAGTTTTGTATAATTAGTTACTATTTGTATTATGATCAAGAAAAACTTTCTGAAGTTCTTTTTAAATATTTTAATTATTGGTATGTATGTCAGACAGAGAGTGGGAGAGAGAGGAAGGAGGAAATATCACTTGCATCATGTGTGCAGACCTGGGTTCTAGTCTCAGTTCACACACACACACACACACACACACACACACACACACACACACACAC